TATCGCGTAAAAAAAAACATTTTGCAAAATGTTTATGTTCATCGATTTTAGTCAATTTGGATGTTTTTTTTATCTTTATTTTAGAGGCAATTTGGATGTGAATATTGTGTCTATTTCAGAAAAGTTATCACTTTCGGAATACTTTCAAATAAACATAAGTTTTTAATTCTTCAAAATATGCTGTTCTTTGTTATTGGAGCTTTCAACCTTTTTTTTTCATTTATTGACACAAAATTTAGATTCTTTTAAGTGTATATTCTTGCTGGTTAGGCAATCCAGTTTCTTACAACTTTGTATCAGACGTCATTTCGTTTATATGAACAGTTTTGGTGCTAGGGTTTTTTGAAAAATATCGAATTCGCCATTTTGAAGAAATAGCTGAGAGTCAAAATGGACAAATTCCAGTGAAAACTGCCCTTAGTGAACAATTCTACGAAGTTTCATGGAATTCTGAGATCAGAATAATCTCTCGCATTGCCGATCTAGTTCAAAGAAGTTCGCGGGAAAATCGAACTTCCGTTGAGTTCGGCCGAGGTCACCTTCCTTAATCTGAGGGTCACGGTTTCGCTTCACTTTCGTCCGAATCGCAGATTACAGTGGAAGTGTTTCGTTTTGTACACGTGACAGTTTTTAAAGTGAGTTAAAGCCACGTGGTTCTATTTTTGTACGTAAGTTGATCGTAGAACTAAACGTAGTGTGCGTTATATGTTAGATTTTGTGTGTGCAAAAGTAATCTAGGCCAATTAATGTCCTCGTAGACGTGCTCGTTACAGAAAACCTGTGCATTGTACTTAATGTTCCTTTAACACCCGGGTGCCAAGATTTGCCGTTTTCGCTTGCCGCATCGTCGTGGGATACATATCGTAGACACCGGAAGAAAGCGCAAGAGCACAGCACAGTATAGTAGTTAGATAGAGCAAACATAACGCACACAAGTAAAACTAGGTAGATTAATAGCACAGAACAGAAGTGGAACTTTGGATCAGAGAGTGGCACCACTTGTCATTTAGAAGGCATATTCTGCTTGCAGTTAAGACACAGAGAACAGACGTTGAGCCTCGAACTTAATTTCTGTAAAAACTTGTGTAAAGATTCCTATTCGATTTAAGCGCCACCAATGCCGACTTCCCCACTTAGAAACCCTCTTTGACAACATGATGGCGCTGGCATTGCACAACTTACACTAGACACGAAGTGCTGGTAGCACCAAAAAGGTAGTGTTCAACAGAAAATTTATCGATACTAGCGCCAAATTGGTCGAAAGTGGAAAATGTATAGAGGAAATCAGGAGATGCTAGTGCCACGTAACGGCGACGTTCTCTTCTGTTCTATGTTAATAGTTTAAGAGGAGCAGAATATACACAAACTCGCAAAAGCATGCTTTATTTTGAGAACACCTTCACTTACCGTTTTTTAAGTTACTGCGGAGTGGCTGTCAACTTGAGTATTTTCGATTAATCTCCCCGAATTGAAAGGTTTATTTTATATTTTTCCGTATTCATGTATTTATAAGTTTTGTTTTTTTTTTGTATTAAAGTATATTAAATCCATTATGATATGTATTTTTCGTGTACAAAGTATTTTCGAGGTATTTTTGTGTATTTCATTTAAGTTATTTTAATTTTAACGTGTACACATTAAGGTATTTTTTTATGATTTATGAAGCTCATCGCCCCTTGATAAATGTTTTTTTTTTTCTTTGGTTTGTTTTTTCCGTCGATCTTGTTTTCCGTGCTGAGCACCAATGCTACCGACGTGCCAGGAAGGCAGCTCCCACACCTAAACCCTACCTATCGACCCATCAACTCATGAACCGGGGACCAACGGCTTTACTTCCCATCCGAAGGAAGGCGTGATCAGAGATGTTATGCCTCAGAACATCCCGGCGGCGCCGACTGGTATTGAACCCAGGCCTGCTGTGGTGAGAGGTAATCACGCTTACCACTACACCACCGGCGCCGTTAAATGCAATAAATGTTTGATTTGATTTCGATAAAATTCCAATGTTGAACAGTCCTATTATTGAGTGGAATGAGAGGAACAAAGTGTTTTCACGTTGTTTCGGGTCCGTTTGGTACTCCTGCTGCTGTCTTCAACGTGGTCGGAATTTTACTTTTATGTTGCGAATCTCTTTTGCTGTAGCTGCACCTCTAGCGGAAAACAGGTGGAACTGCCGATGAGGAGAACATGACGTGTAGCGTCGTTTTAGGTTTGTGTGCTCTCTTACCGGGAGTTTTAGAGACATATTTCGTTGATGTGATAGATTATGCTTCTTCGCAATAAGGGTTTCTACCCCAAGGTTGCAAAGACTCATTTCAGCTAAAACAATGTTTTTTTAAATTACGAAATAATTAGATGCCATGATCAAATTTTGAATTGGTAGGATACAAGAAGAGGTTGCAAAGAATGTGTTTGACATATTAAACCTGTTTATTTCACTTCATGAGAGTCACAATCAGCGATTTTTCACAAACTCACTCACTCACTCACTCACTCACTCAGCGATCAGCAAATCGCTGATTGTGACTCATAGAAAGCAAAATTTACAGGTTTTATGTTTCCAACGCATACTTTGTAACCTCTTCTTGTAAGTTACAAGTAAAATATGCCATTATACCATCTCTTGGTTTTATTATTCCGAAAAACATTATTTTAGCTGAAATGAGTCTTTGCAACCTTGTTCTACCCAATCAATTTTGGTGGTAGTCAAGCTGGCTCGATCTCTTCTTTTAATGAAATTTTTCACTTGGACTCGCCTTGAGGCAGTCTCATTCGGCAAACTCAAGTTAACATGTGGGCTTCTTTTACCGGAGTGGCGCTTAAACCACATAATTACTGGACAATGTCGGCGACAATCTGCTAGTTTACTCTCTAATAGCGCCGTACCAACTAGAAACATACCGCCACAGACAAACATACATAAAACATTGAATATTTCTCAATGTAAAACGTCGTCATTAAAACAGTTCCGCCATCTGTTGAATACACAGTGGTGGGCAGTACGCTGAACAGATGGCGCTAGTGTGTAAACGTCAAACGCAAGGGAGTTGGCTATGCGCGCCACAGGTGGTGGTACTACCAACTAAGATATGAAATTTTTGAGAGTTATGTCTGTTTGTCTTTGATACCGCTTTGGCTCCCTGTTTGACATAAGAAACAGTGAATCGAGCTCGCCATAGAAATAGCGTTTCCAAAATACCTGAAACTCCGACTGGGAAACGTAGCCACGGATAGTTAACCTTTTGTCTGTACTTCAAAAATAATTTGTTTATTTCACATCATCTGACTAACAGTTTTCATAATGTTTCGATAAGGAAAAGCCTGAATGAAGCGGCTACAGTCGAATGCCGACCATACGCAGGCGCAAAAACCCTAACTCTGTGCACACAACATATACAATAATTAAAAAGCGAATCATACAAGCAAAGAAAATAGAATCATAACATAATAATTGAAAATCGTGGACCATAGCATAAAAAATACCGTCCTTGAGCATGCGGTCGTTAGTTCAGGTCAAAAAGATGGAGTCACCAGGGGAAAAGAGCCAAAAAGATGCATGTTATAGAAATTCGACAGTTGCTCACCAAATTCATTGATCATTGAGGCGTTTCATCGTTCTCCAATTGATGTCATTGCGCTTTTGTATTTGTATTTGTATTTATTGTATGAATCCATCTGACATCGTGGTCTTAATGAATAAAACTTAACTAAAAAAAAACTTTAACACGCTGTACAGAAAAAAACAAAATCATACTGGTCGATTCCGTAGGCGGTTTCGAAAGACGATGGTAGAGATATTGAAGTCAAACAAGCTGTAATTGTCTTGGAGTCTTCGACTTATCGAATCAATGGGATTGTTGGATCTGTGTTCGTCTCGTTGGCTGGCACAATAGCTGTGCAGATTGCAGCACTCGTTGAGGGGCGTAGATGTTGAGCTGACTCAGCAATGCAGGGCAGTCTATTTCGGAGCGTAAAATTTTGGCTCCTAAGATAGCTTGGCTGAACTTGCGTCTATCCACTATCGGTTCAATACCAAGCAGCGCACAACGGTGCTCGTAGGGTGATAGTTGTAATGAGTCGGTCCATGGCAAGCCTCGTAGAGCACATCTCACAAATTTCCGCTGCACTGATTCGATTCGTGAAATCCACACAGCATCGTACGGAGACCAGACGGCAGAAGCAAATTGAAGAATGGATCTAACTAGCGAGCAATACAGAGATCGCAATCACAGAGGGTCATCAAATTTGTTCGCTATCTTGAGAATAAATCCAAGTTGACGATTTGCTTTGTCAACTATTTCCGAATAGTTCATTTTGAATGTGAGTTGATAATCCAGTACCACACCCAAGTCTTTAACATGATCAACCCGATTCAGTACAGTGCCATTGATAGTATAGTCATGTAGGATAGGATTTCTCGTTCTTCAAAAAGATATGATACAGCATTTGGACACACTGACTGCTAGATGATTCAGTGCACACCAACTGACAAACAAATCTAGCTGTTGTTGTAATTGACGGCAATCATTGGTGCTCCTAACAAACAGGTAGATTTTCAAATCGTCTGCGTAGAACATTAGGCAGCAATTCAGAAGAACGTGGGACACATCATTCAAGAACAACGCGAATAACAGCGGCCCCAAGTTGCTCCCTTGCAGCACCCCACATCGAGGAATGAAAAGTGCAGACACGGCTGATCCAATTTTCACGAACAATTGACGGCCAGTCAAATATGATCTCAGCCAAACACAAATTCTCGAAGATGCTCCTAGTCGCTCCAGCTTAGCCAACAGAATATCGTGATTAACTGAGTCGAACGCAGCCTTTATGTCAGTGTACATGCTGTCAATTTGACCTCGTTGCTCCATTTCGCTGATGCAAAACGACGTGTATTCACACAGATTAGTGATGACTGAACGTTGCGGAAAAAATCCATGCTGAGATGTTGAAATGTACGTTTTACAGGCCTGGAACATAACATCATTGAGAATTATCTCAAATCATTTGGATCCGGCAGACAACAAAGTTATTCCACGATAGTTCGACACATCCACTTTACTGCCTTTCTTGAAGATAGGCTGAATGTATGACATCTTCCAAGCGATTGGAAACTGCTGGCTTCGAAGAGAGAGGTTGAATATAGCTTGCAGAGGTGTAATCAACATGCCACTACATTTTTTCAATATGCACGCAGGAATACCGTCTGGTCCAGGTGATACAGATGATTTCAGCTTCTTCAGTGCATTCTCCACCATCGTCTGACTAACATCGAAAATATCAATGTCGAATGCGTCCACAAGCAGGGACCTTGTCGCAGTTTCAACATCCGATGGAGACGCAGTTGATGCCTGAAAAACACTCGCAAATCGTGCAGCAAATAGTTCGCATTTGGCTTCTGCGGTGGAGGCAGATTGATCTTCCATGCGCATGGTAGATGGAAGGCCGCTTTCATTTCGCTTAGTGTTTACAAAATTCCAGTACTGTTTAGGATTTCTTCGCAGATTGTCCTGAACACGTCTTACGTATCTGCCGTACAAGTAACGGTTATAGCTCCGATAGTTGCGACTAGCTCGTGCAAACGTCTGTTTGGTGATGCCATTTTTGCGTGCCGAGAAGCGTTTAAGCATCTTAGATCGAATACGTCGAAGGTACTGTAAGCGAGAATTTTACCAAGCAGGTTTTCTCCGAGGTCTTGACAACGGAACACAGAATGTGAAGCAATCGCGCAGTATACTGTTGAAGCAACTAACAGCATCATCTACGTTGCTACACCGACAAACAGTAGACCAATCAACAAATGGAAAGATTGCTGAACAATACACAGTGAAAACAAGAGCTGGATGATGAGGATCGATATCTACAACCGACTCCGGGGCCTCATCAACTGAACTGCAATCTGTCATGCAGTCGTTCGAAAGTCTACGCTTTAATGTAGCAGCCGAAGCGTTGAATTCGAACCAAGTACATCTGGTTGAACCTGGCTGACATGAAGCGGATGATATCATACTGACCATGCAAAGCGTTGCGAGACTCGAGATCTTAAAAATCACGGTTGCGAAGGATTCGTTCCGGTGCGTAAATATTCAGCTGCGCGATGATCTCCGATGAATCCGTATCTCTCAACAGGATCTTAGCCACAAAAACTAATTGAGAAGTGCTTCTTCTTTTCTCTAGAGTTTCAATACTCCGCAGTCTACAATGGTCTTCGTAATGTGGGAGCAGAAGGGGATCTCACCACGGAAGGTCACGAAGGGCATATCTCACGAACTTTCTTCAATCCTAACAATCCACGTTGACTGATACGGGCACCAAACTACTGGATTCAAGGATCGATCGCACCAGAGTGCAGTATAGTAATCGAAATCAGTGTGGGTCACGGAATTCGTTGGTTATTTTGAATATCCAAGCCACATTTTTTAATTATTATAGTCACTTTAACATATTTGGGTCATTTGTGACTTGTCCGGAGATGAGATTTGAACTTGTGACTTTGGCGTGAGAGGTATGGATGCTACCCACTACGCCAGGGTCGCCTCTAAGCTGCCAATTGGCTCTAGAGATATTATGATTGTAATGTAATCGAAAGGTGAGCGCTGAGTCAAGGATAACGCCCACATCCCGTACTTCATGAACATGCTCAAGAGGCTGGTCGGCGATGTTAAAGTCATATATAATTGGCGTCAGTTTCCTGTGGAACGATATGTAGTTGCACTTGTGAATGCTCACTATAAGAATGTTTGAAGTACACCTTTCAGCGAAAAGATCGAATAACTGTTGTAATGCAAAGCAGTCCTGAAGACTATTCACCACCATGTAAATCTTGACATCGTTAGCATAGGACAATCGGCAACCTGAGGGCAGTGTCTTAGGTAGTTCATTGATGAATATAGTAAACTACAAAAGACCCAAGTTACAGCCCTGAGGCATGCTTTGTGAACGGCTCAAATGATTCATTTCCAATCTTCACAATTAGCTTCCGATCCGTTAGATAAGATTTGAACCAGCAGGTCAATGATGATGAAACACCGAGTCTTTCAAGGCATTCAAGCAAGATCCCATGATCAACACGATCATGTGCAGATTTTAGGTCGGTATACACAGCGTCAACTTGTGTGCCATTGGCATAAAGCTAAGTTCATTGCGAAGATCCTTCAATAGGTTACATAAAATTCGAAATATGCAGCAACTAAGAGACAGCCACGTTAAGGTTCAATTTACTTTGAAACATTTTCGAACATTTCAAGAACATTTTTTTTTCACCACAACATTTCAGGTTGAAAAACAGCTCGCATCATGATGTGTAAAATAACATAATGAATATAATGATGCGAGCTTTTTACAATTTGAATTGATGCGTCGAATAAAAAAAAAAGCTTTGAACATTTTGAAAATGCATTAGTAAATTGAATCTTAAGAAGACATACATACATGCAAAAATGTCAATCGTGTTGATAAAGAATCAAGAGAATCATATTTACCTCAAGGTACAGACAGAGGGTTAAATGAACAATTGAGAAGTTTTGTTTGAAGGTTATAAAATTTTAATTTATTTTTTCCTTGATTTGTCTTCCGTCGATCTTGTTTTCCGTACTAAGTACCAATTCTACCAACGCCGGGGAGGCAGCTCCCACACCTGAACCCTACATATCGACCCATATCATGGACTCATGGACCAGGGACCAACTACTTTCCTTCCGAAAAAAGGCATGATTAGAGATTTGTTTATGCCTCAGAAAATCCCGACGCAGTCAGCGCTGCACACTTAGAAAAAATCATGTAAATTTAGGTGCTCTGAGAGTGACATATATGAGCGTCAATTTTGACATAAATTTGAGTCATAACAGACGCGAAATATAGCTCAATCAAACGTACTTTTCGTCTAGTAACGAATTTTTCAGTCTCGGAGCATTTCATATCACATGACATGTTTGTTACGTCTCATATTTTAAGTCAAAGACGGATTCCCGAGCTTTTTTCTTTTATTTAACGTCGGTCTCTGTTTCGCAATCTAGTGATAATTACCGATGGACATCGATTTCCATCCATTGACGGCAATCGAATGTGCAGGAAGGCAGCTTTCACACCTGCGTAGGATATCGCATCCATTAAATTCAATACACATGGGCCGGGACCAACGGCTTTACTTCCCTTCCGAAGGAAGACGTGACCAGAGATTTTTATGCCTCAGAAAAATTCCACCGATCTCAGCTGGGATTGAACCCAGACCCATTGAGGTGAGAAATAAAGACAAATTCAGTAACGTGTAAAATTAGTTATTTCTAAGCTTGAGAAGTAGTCACGCTTACCACTACACCATCGGCGCTGCTGATTATAAAAATTAATGACTGTAAACATCGACTTTTCTGCACTCGATTTGCTACCACATATGTCTGTCCCAGAGCCCCCATTATCGTAAATACGACCCTGCTGGCACATTCAATCTACTTTTCTGAAATAGTTTCTTTTACCTACACTCTCAAATTATTAATTAATATTACATTCCTAGCTTTCCACTGGGGGAGAAAATGATCTGTGACAGAAATCTTCAATTTTTTTTTAAGATTTCCACAAGCATGTGGAAGTTTTTATTGAATGCTATCTAATACAAAAATGTTGGTAGACAATGAAGAAAAAACCGGATTTGTGGTATTATACATAAGTTATGATAAAATCCAATGGTATCTTCCATTTTTTCCTTTATTTGTTTTCCGTCGATCTTATTTTTCGTACTGAGTACCAATGCTACCGACGCCAGGAAGGCAGCTCCCATACCTGGACCCTACCTATCGACCCATCAACTCATGGACTGGGGACCAACGGCTTTGCATATTTCTTCCGTATTCTAAACATTATAAAAAAATATCAAACCGAGGATCAATTTCATGACACTACCCGTCATAGCTGAAACTGTTTTGACGTACAAGAAATCACGACTGGAGAATTGCTAAACTTGTTCTAAAATTAGAATAACTAATTTTATTGATCTTATTTTTTCAGATGGAAAACTGCGATATAGTGCTCCTTACAATCACGACAGCAGACGAGAAAACCGTTTTTTGACTCCTGGCCTTTTGTGCCCTTCTTTACAGCCTTTCCCGGGAGGAATTTGTTGTCCTCCAAAATGCAATCTCGTATCAAATGTAACATATAGCATAGGACTTACGAACAGATTAGAGTGATTATCTTCAATCAGATTTATTCTATTCTCAGGGTTTAAAAGCATCGAAAACGACATTGTTGATCAGCTTCTATTAAGGCATAAATCAACTCATAATCTGGCATACCATACAAAAGCTATTTTCGCGCTTCTTCACGCCGTTGTGAAATTAATCCCATCACGTCCCCACTAATGAGTCTGGCCGTTCATGACAAGTCATTTATAACCAATGTACTGTACACTAAAGCCGTCTCTTGTCGACGACCGATGTTGTTATTGTTGTTATAAGAGAAACCTAAGAACTTCCTCACAATTCACCTCATCTTCAAGTGACCATAGACCGAACGGTATCAATGTCTCAAGCCGTCGATGACAAGCATGTTCTACTCCACCAGGCTTAACAATGACTTTCCCGAAGGCTTTAGAAGTCTTAGTTCCATTGAAGAATGATTATACGGACGAAGAGGAGGTCTTATGCACGAACTCATTACCCGTTCTGGTAAATATTTTATGACCATAGTCATGAACTGCTGGCCGCTCCAAGTCAAATTCCTCCTGGAAATCGTTTAGCGACCGAGCAGAGAGCCCTCGTATCGACAATTCCCTTTCTTTATGAAGGCACGTACCGATAGAGCCTCCTTCGTTCCTACGAATAGCAAATAAATCGCTTCGGAATATTAAATTGTCAGTTGAATTATTTATTGAATATTCATCGCCTGTCAGAGTAAACTGGGTATCACATTGGAAGTATTTGCTCGCGGACACCCGATCAAGACAAGTAGAATTAAACTTGTGCGAATGACGAGGCCCTGCGCCTTGGGCAGTAACGTAATCAAACAAATATGAAATAGATTCAATAACAGGCACTTCTGCTGGGTAATGATTTCTTGTATGCCAAGGAAGTTGCAGATTGTGAACGGCTGATGTAAAATTGCATCACTGTTTGATATAGAGTAAGATATTTAGGAAGTATTTTTGAAAAATAAAAGCTTGTTTCGAAGAGTCTTGCAACCGGCCCAAAGCGTTTGTTTGAAATCGATCAGACGAAGCGCATCAGAATGTTGCATCAATTTACGATTAGTATCGCATGACTTAATTTGAAGGATTACATGATTGGTGCTATGCTCAAACGCATCCACTCAGCAACACGCATTCGCCAAAATCACCACTAATTTGAGGGCTCTGATAACCGAAAATCACAAGGCGTTAATCCTAACTCTTTAAAATGCCCTTCCTATGTGAAAATCCGGACTCAGCATCGTGATACAAGAACACAATGCATTGCCAAATTGAACGGCTTATAATCGCGACCACACGAACGGGGAACCATTGTTGTGCTCCCGTTTCATTGATTCGGCATGATCAAACAGATTGCTTCTTCGGGAAACGGGCCATCATCTACCATTTCTGTCCGATGCGATGATAGGAAATGAATATGCAAGTACCTACGTCGCTGCTATTCTGTGCATC